CAAATCCAAAAATCCTTGGAATGTTCTCCTAAAAATCATCAAGAAACTTCCAGATGATCCCTGGAAAACAAATCCCCAAATCCTTGGAATGTTCTCCATAAAATCAGCAGGAAAATTCCAGGAAAACAAATCAAAAAATCCTTGGAATGTTCTCCTGGAAATAATCACGAAAATCCCTGGGAAACAAACCCAAAAATCCTTGGAATTTTCTCCCTGAAAATCCTCAGGAAAATCCCAACAAACCCCAGGAAAACAAATCCAAAGGATTCTGGGGTGGGAGGAGGATCGTGGCCAGTTTTCCTGGAATTGAGGATTCCCGGGAGATTCCAAACGGGAACGACAAGGCCGGGAACATCTCCCAGGGGGGCTCCCAGGGAGGGAAATGTCGGGAATATTCCGGCAACATTCCCGGAATTCCCACCTTCCAGCGCTTCCCGGGCCGCCCGGAGGGCCGTCCTCTTCTCCGGCTTCTCTCCCAAGGGTCCCACGTTTTCCAGGAACCAGTGGAGCGGCTCTTCCCAGGGAATTCCCAGCTGCTGGACGTGGATGAGCCGATCGGCTTCCAGAGCTTTCCGGATCAGCTCCTTGGCCTCTTCCTCGTTCACCAACCACACCCGCCGGAACTGAGCCAGGCCCGTCACGGAAAAGTGTCTGTGGGAAGGGGAGATGTGGAATTCCAGGCCCTGGGGAAGTGGGATCCGTGGAATTCCCATCCCTGGGGAAGCAGGATCCACCTCCTCAAGCCCCTCCGGAATTCCCTGCCCCTCCCTCAGCGAGAGGAGTCGCCCAGGCTGGAATTCCCAATCCCAATCCCAATCCCACCTCATCCTGCTCCTCGTCACCTCCTGCTGCCCTTTGAGCCGCTCCTGGAATTCTCAATCCCAATCCCCATCCCAGAATTCCCAATCCAAATCCCACCTCACCCTGCTGCCCCTTGAGCCGCTCCCGGAATTCCCAAAATTTCCAGTCCCAATCCTGATTCCGATCCCACCTCATCCTGCTCCTCATTTCTTCATGCTCCCAGAATTCCCAATCCCAGAATTCCCAATCCCACCTCATCCTGCTCCTCATTTCTTCATGCTCCCAGAATTCCCAATCCCAGAATTCCCAATCCCACCTCATCCTGCTCCTCATCTCCTCGTGCTCCTGGAATTCCCAATCCCAGAATTCCCAGAATTCCCAATCCCACCTC